AGGTAACAGGAGTAAAGAGATTGCGTCTAAATTTCTTTTATTTATGATAAAAAGGCTGTATTACTTCTGGAAACACACTTTCAGCTTTTACTCTTCAAAGGATTCTGTTGACAGTGTATTCTATAATGTATATTAAAATAATAAAGTATATCGTAACAATTAATTTTTTCAGGACAACGTATGCGTAAATTAGTTCTGCGTAATATAGAGGTTATTACGAATGCTGGATTAAATGTAACGGGTATCATTGCTGATCAAGGTACAAACAACACAAGTTGCTTCAAACCATTGAAACAAAAATATGATAATTACTTCAATTATAATAACCGTAATATATATATATTTTATAATTATTGTTAATTCTTTAAAAATATAAGAAACACTTTGTTAGCACACGATATTCAAACTCCTAGGGGAGTTCATATTCAACCAAAAATTTTGAATATACATGAAAGTAAGCTTGATCATGCAAATTTTGAGCAACACTGTAGCTTTAGGGATCAAAACACTTATTAAAGAAATCAATGACGGATTTAATATACTTGATAAAATACCTGTTTCTCGTTATTGCAATGAAAGAGAAAAAATTATTTTATTTCGAAATTATCTTGACGGTCTCACTATTTTATTAAATACAAATGTAAATTGTATCACTTTTCTAAAATGGACGATATCAGCAATGCTTGACCTAATTGATGAATCATTTCAAAATGCCGAAATAAATAACTCAAAAAATTCTCTCAAAAAATTTCAAAATTATTTAAACAAAAGGAAATAATTGATATTGTACTTTACAACTTGAAAACAACAAGGAATTTATTCTCAAAGATTAAAGACAAAGAAAAGAAAGAAAATTTGTCAAATCTTATTTATAAGATCAATTGTAATGATTGCAATGGAGCTTATGTAGGAACAACCAAACAAAGATTGGCAAAAAGAGTTGGTGAACACAAAAGTACGTTTAAACGTAAAGATGATGGGAAAAAAACAGCTCTTTGTGAACATTCTATTTCTAAAGGACATAGTTTTAACTTTGATAAAGTAATAATTCTGGAAATTGAAAATAATTATCATAAAAGATTAATGAGTGAAGTTATACACATTATATTAAATAATGAACAGGTGGTAAACTACAAGAGAGACACGGATAATTTTAGCACACTTTACTCTAATTTATTGGATAAATACAAGCTAATCAAAAATAAGAGATAAAAGAAAATAAAAGTCAGCTGTTGAGTTTCTTCTTATTGAGTAATAAGAGATATAAAAGAAGAGAACGTTTATTATTATTATTATTTTTGACGGAATGTTAACATTAAATAAAAAAAATTTTTTAGTTATGTTATGCTAGTTATTTATGTCCAAAAAAAATTGTGTATTAAGTTTTAATGTGTGAATTTTAATTGTTTTAATTTTTTATTTTAATTTGTTAATTCAATTTTTATTACTAACGACTATTGTGGAACAAACAATTACTGCATTTTATAAAAAATAAGCTATATATATGTAGGCAAGAAGGGGTAAGATCTGGCAACGCCGGCAAAAAGGAACAAGAAGAAGCTTTAAGAAACAAGCAGTAGTCGGTAATAAGTCGTTGAAGTTGTCAGTCGATTGTGCGCGTTTAAGAAGTTACTTATTATTATTTATTAATTAATTAACGTATATACACTTTGATTTTTTGGATTAAATAAATACTATTAAATAAACATTCCTACATATATTTTGATGTTAGTATTTTATATTTAAATTAATGTTTGTTATTATATAGCACTGACGAAGTTCTTAAATAAAGAACGAAATATTTGCCAACATTTTTAAATAAATGCGTTTAATTGTTCGGGTCTGTAAGCTGATAAGAATCTAAATACAAACAAAAATTTAAACAGACGATAAACTACATCATAGAAATAAATAATATTCTATTAGGTCGCATCAATCAGGATTGTAATGAAAATTTCTTTGCATTATTGCGTTCTTCTCTTGGAAGAGAGAGAAGTTCATTATTTGATAGGAAGGCTTTTATCCATACAAATTGTTAACCAAAATTATATCAAAGACAAAAATTGTCGTGGTGAGAAAGAAAAAAATTTAGAATGGAATCTACCTGTACTCACTGATAATGGAACTAAATTTGAACTTGGAGAGTCTTGTAGTATGGAGTGGGAGAAAGACACCGAAACGAATACCAAGAATATCAAGGAAAAACTAGTATATAAAATTAAATGCTGTGATTGCTTATCGGAAATAAAAAAATTAGAGACTTCAAATTTATTATCAGAATCATTTCTTAAAGCAAAACAATTTGAAAACTCTATTCACGAACTCGTGATAATTTCTCTACCTGCCGAAAAGTGTTTACTACTCATTGCCACATACATACTAGGATTAAAAAAGAAAATCATTGAGGAATCTATTGCAAATAATAACAAAAAGTTTCCTGATTGGTTTGAAAAAACCAACAAATGCTACGAGCACAGAGTTGAAATCTTGAATTTTTTAATACTAATTTTAATTCGAAAGACATGAAGGTGGCATATAGAAGATGAACTAGCCAAAGAAAAAAGAAAATTCGATATTTTTGAGAATGAAAATATTGTCTTCGTACTGTTTGATGTAATTTTTGTTTTATATCTACTTTTGAATTTATTTTATATTGTGGTGAGAAACAACAAAGTAGGTGAAAATTGTCAGATTTTTGATATTTGAAAATATTTTATTTAAATATTCATTCAGATTATTTAGATGAGTAGTTAGTTTGCTTCTAGAGTTGTATGAAGAAAACAATAAAAGTTTTGTGTTGCAATAAAATACTGTTTTTTAAATAATAAAAACTATCTTGTTATTGCGAGCACAACATTAGTGACCCCGACACAAAAAAGGAGTTGTAAGTTTTTATCAAGCCCGACTAAGCAAACAAGATGACTAACCGTGAGGAAGAAGATTTATTTCCGGCAGAAGGAGAAAGCCGCACTGACAAGGAGGTATACCGGGTGTCAATAAAGTCGATGATGTTTTCATGAGAGCACCCGGACCTTTTCTTCTGTAAATAGAGGCGCAGTTCAGGAATGCGGAAATAACGAGAGATGATACAAAGTTCGACCATGTAGTAGCAGGGTTAGAGCCGAAATATCTGGAGTGCATAGCTGATTTGATTCGGGATCCACCGAAGGTGTTGAAATATGAGACGTTGAAGAAACGATTAATAAATGAATTCACAGAATCGGAACACAAAAGGCTGCGTAAGTTGTTGACAGTATTGGAGCTAGGCGACATGAAACCAACGCAATTACTGAAGAAAATGGCTGGCAGTTCAATGGGTGATGACGTACTGAAGTCATTGTGGTAAAGGAATGAACCGAATGAGATGAAGAAAGAAATTGACGAGTTAAAAGTCATGGTAAATAATTTGATCATTCAATTGGGCAAAAGAGGAAGAAGCAATGACAGAGATCGTGGAAAAGGGGCGATCATCAAGTGCTAAAAGAGATAATATCTGTTTTTATCATCGGCGGTTCAAGGAGAGGTCCACAAAATGTATTCAGCCGTGCCAGTACAAACCGCCACAAAACTCAGCGGGAAACTAAACTGTACAACGTCATCTCTGGAGCTCAAGTTGGTGGAGTTAATTGCAGAAGGTGTTTCTGTGAAATGTTACACAATTTAGCTCATCCTGGTAGAAAAGCAAGTATAAGACTACTAAGTTCTCGATTTTGTTGGCCTAAAATGAAGGCCGAAATAAGTCAAATGGTGAAAACGTGCATGGCGTGTCAAAAGTCGAAAATCCAGCGGCACAACAGGACTGTGTTGCAGGATTTCAACGCTTCTAATCAACGTTTTGAGCATGTACATATTGATATCGTGGGACCTTTGCCCTATTGCAATGGTATGCGATATTGCCTGACATGCATCGACCGGTTTTCAAGGTGGCCGGCGGTGGTACTGTTGGCGGAGACTACGGCAGAATGTGTGGCTGAGGCTTTAA